GGTATTATCATCCTCATTTTACAAATGAGGCAACTGATGTCCAGAGAGGTTAAGTAACTATGCAGAGACACATAGCCAACAAGATTCAAGGTAATTAAGTAAGTAGCCTAGCTAGGATTTGGCCCTTTCCACATTCATTATTCCAGTTTTTCTTTAAAAGTCCATGTCCCCCTGGTGGGTTCTCCACGGCTCTAGGAAGGCAGCAGGGAAGAGTGGGCTCTCCCAGGGCCAGGGCAAGCTGTGCGCTGGACCCTGGGACGGATCAGCACAGGCCTGCCCTCAAGTTGCTCTAGGTAGGATGGGCTGGGCTCTCTGCAAACTCTCAGCCGCCTGAGGGGCCAACAGGAGGAACGCACAGACTCTGGGGTCAGAGCAGGCTGGGTTCCTGTTCGGATCCTGCCCTCTTGGCTGCGTAGATTTGGGCAAGTTGCTGTACCTCTCTGAGCCTCCCAGCATGTCATATAGGAAGGAGATGATAATGGCCCCTAACGCTGCTGGAAGAGATGATGATTTTAAAAGGCAACAAATACAAGCAACTCCTTAACAACCCTTAACTCCTTTTCTCACTCATAGGGTTTTTATGAGGATTAAATAAAACAGAACCTAACATGTTCAGTCATACTGCTCTCTGCCTATGTGACCGGGGCCCTGCTACCTACACTCTCTGGGCTTTGGTTTCCCCATCTATAAAATGGGCATATTAATAATACTACCTCCTAGGGTTGTTGTTAGCTTAATACATCTAAAGGACTCAAAACAGCATCCAACACTCAATAAGTGTCAGCTATTACTGTGTCGTAGTTATCACTGTAACCGCACAGTAAGTGCAAGTTATTGGGATCATAAATTGATTTCAATTCACCCCCTGCCTCAGGCTTCCATCCCATGGCCATCATGACCATGTGTCTCAGAGCATCTAAGCTCTGCCCTTGTGTTATGAGAAAGCTGAGTCCAGGACACCCATGACCCCAGCCTGTGGCAGAGATGTCTCCACTGGATTTCAGGAAAATGCCAGTGCTTGGCGTTTTCGGATGGCCGCCACGGGACCCATCCATCTGAATGTTGTTGATGTGTCTCTGGGTAGACTCTAGAGGAAGGTTCTGTCCATCCAGCCTTCCTGTGCACCAGTGATGAGCTCCCCTATGGAACTGATGTATCTGCAAGGGAACAGGACAAGGAAAGCCATGTGCCAGGGCTTCTTTCCCTTTTTGCCTTGGCTGCCAGGTAAACTGTGGCCAGATTTAGTACCACACAAACGTGATTTGCTCATTGAGGGCGGCCCTGCACGAACATAGGTATGGGAGCCAGAAAAACTCAAGACACCTGGCTCCTCTGTTCACCGCTGTGCCACACTGGATGAGTGGCTTTGTGGTTCTGAGTCTGTTTCCTCTTCTGTAAAAAGAGAGAGAGAGCTAGAAGTCTCTGAGCTCTGCTTCCTCCTGGATGTGTGAACGTGGCAGTTCCCTCTTCACGCTTCACCTCGGTTTCCTCTCCTGTCAAACAGGAGTTATGTTAATGAGCACGCTACTAGGCTGTGAGGAGGATCGCTCAAAGGGCACAGCCTGGTGCCCACTGCATGACTGGCACTTTGTAACCAGGAACTGAAAATATATTGCTTTTGTGGGTGAAGACCGCTGGGTTTGGAAATCGAAGGTTTGATGGGCAGAGTTTGCTGAAAAGTAGAGGCCTCCTGTAGCAATTTTAAAACCAAGCTTTGTGGTTTGACTGTAGTCTGGATTCTCAGTTCTTGAGTTGCAAGGACGAGTCTGTGCAAAGGCCCTTGGATTCCCTGGAGGAAGGGGTCTTCTACCCAGGAGTCTGCAGTGGCCATAACTCCCACCAGCTCAGTGCGTGCCCTTTTTACGAGGTGCACTTGACGGCCTGCCATGCATGGGGCAGGATCTGCTAGGGCATGCCCAGAGGGAGCAATGCCAGGGAGCAGAGCCTGGGCCCTCCCTCTACCCACTGCCATGGGAGACTGTGCCAACACTGCACATTCAAGAGAGGCAGCCCCACCCAGGGGCCCCTGCAACCCAAGCACGGGTCCTGGTTCCAAGGGAGGGTAGCATTGTCTCCACAGTTTTGGATGTAGCTAAGGGTGAGGGGCAGTGTGGAAGTCAAAGCCAGGAGAGGTTATGACTAGAGGCTGCTGTCCTGGCCCAAGGATGCCCTGCATCCTCTGCTTCTGTTTGCACACCTCCTGTGACTGGGATCTCCCTCTCTCCCAAAGCCACCTGCAGCTTTGTCTTCCTTCTCAAGTGTGGTGCCCAGAAACAAAACAACTTCTCCCAGAATGGTCTAATCATGCACTGGAGCGGCAAGCCCCTCCTTTGCTCTACAGACTACACTTCTGTTAACGCATTCCTATTTTGTTTGTTTCTCCCCACACATATCACTATTGATGACACCCAAGTCCAGGGCTGCTATCAACTAAAACTCATTACTTCACAACTCTTTTTTACCCCTCCCTTCTTCCATCCCTTCCTCTTTCCTTTCTTCTCCCATTTTAGAGCAATGCCCCTCTGCAGTCAGTTTCTTCAAATGTGTATTGAACATTTGTGCATGCTACTCCTACTCTGGGCACGGGGGATTCATAAGTGAATATGTCCTGGGTCCTGCCCACAGGAGGCTTCCCATCTGCCAATGGAGAGGACAGAAGGGTAACAGCTAAAGCACCTGCCCTGAGGGTGTAATTGACAGAAGAGACAAAGTGCAGAGGGACCTCAGAGGGGTGAGCAACTACCATATATGCCCAAATATTAGGCCACCCAAGTAAAGGTTAAGGGCAATCCCTATTCTCCCAATGAGAAGATGCAATGAGAAGATGAGAAGTCGAATAATATAAACTTTAAGGTATGGAGACGAAATAGTCAAACGGCTATTGTAATATTTATTTCTTTACTGAGAGAGAGATATTTTAAATCACTTTTATATATTTAAATTTTTAATATTTCATTTATTTAATAAAATATTAATTTGGAAAGACTGCTTTTGTCCAATCTAAAATTTCAAGAAACTACTTGGTTCAAACTCTTTACACGTGGCTTTGACACTAGTGTCACCACCAGCTGGTGGGAGGGTGGGGGGAAAGAATTTTTGGTTTTCCAGAGCACATCTTAATCACAGGGACCAAGATGCTAAAACACAGCCCTTTTGGATTCAAGCGTCAGGTGACCACTGGGCACTGTGTCCCCTCTCCAGGTACCATCTGCATTGCATTAGGACAGTTGGGGCTTCATTTGCAGGTGTGCATTTGTGATCTGCACAACCCTGCCACTTATTTGGGTGCTCTGAAAGTGACCTTTAAAAGGCCTGTTTATGACAACCTCCCTTGCCGTCACCCCTTGTGACCCTACCTTTGTGACACTTGCAGTTACAAAATCCTATTTGCACTGCACTGCTTTATATGAGTAAAATTTCCTAGACTCCTTTTATAATAATACTGACCTCTATACGCATCCCAAACTCACATGGACTGAGGGTGTATGGAACTACTGCACCTTTCCCAAACAGGACTTTGTGTTTAAAAAATAAGTGACTGAGAGAGTACCCGTAATATGAGAAATTGTGACTCAAACACAAGCCAACCTTATGTTCAGACGTATATGATAAATCAGGGTGTGGTGGGGAATAGAGACGGCTTCCCAGAGGTGGAGGCTTTGAGCTGAACTTGAAGGGCAAGAACCTTTTGGGATGGGTCAGGCACTCGAGGCAGAAGGCACCAGAGAAACTGAGCTGCGGGGGCTGGGGGCTGGGGGCGGGCAGGGGCTCGTTCTCCCGGATACCCATCTTTCAATCACGTATCTCCAGGCCAGCTTTGCCCCTTACTGGGAAATTTGGAGCGCCTGTTTTCCACTCTCTGCGCCTCAATCTGCCTATCTGTGAAGTGGGGGTCATAACACATTTCATAAGGTCAAAAAGGATACAAGAGCGTGGAAAGTAAAGCCGGAAAAAAAAAACTGCTTTGGAATTGGGTCTTCTTGGGCAAATCATTTCACCTCCTAAGCCTCAGTGTTCTGATCTGAAAAATGGAGCCCAATGAAGGCAGGGGTTAGCAGGCTTCATGCCCCACTGATTGGTCTGGGTTCCTGCACAGGAGAGGTACTGAGATCTGTGGGGTGAATGAATGAATAAGGAATGCCTGTTACTCCCTCTGCCAGAGACACTGTCTCCAGCTCTTCCCATGTCGATTCTTTGCTGTGCATCAGATGGAGCTGACACGCCCCCAGGTTCTCCCTGAGCCCTGCAGAGTCACCCCATCAGTCTCATCTTGTTTTATTTTCCTCCTGGCTTTGATCATTATATTATGTGATCTTAATTGCTTGCTATTTCTGTCTTCACCACTAGACTAGCATGGCTTGCCTGTATCTACGGTGCCCGGCACAGCCTGTGGCACACAGGAGGTGCTCAATAAATATTTTAATGAATGAGCGAGTGAGTGAATTGATGAATATATGTTCCCTCCTCCCAACCTTTGGACACTGCCTAGGTTTCTCCTACTTGTAGGCACGAGATCCCACCCCAACCCAGCACCCTGGTTGAACTGCTTTCAAGCCCTTTACACTGTCCGAGGTGACCTTGTGCTTGTGTTTCCGTCCCGGACCTCCTCATCCCCCACCCCTACCCCCGCACATTCAACATCCCGCATAGAAGCTCCGCAGGGCGAGGGCTTGGCCCCCTGTGGCCCAGCGCCTGGCACACAGTAGGCCTTCTTAAAGTGTTGCAATTAATGACAGAAAGGCCAGCAGGCTAACGAGCCTGGCACCCTGAGGGCACCCAGCTGCCCAGCGCGCCTTCCTGCTCCGGGCGCGGGAGCCGCGAGGGCGGGAGGCTCGGCCGTTCCCCTCCCGCCTCCCGGTGCAAACTTTCAAAAGATGCTGCGGCCGCGGCCCCGCCCCTCTCCGCGTGGTTGGAGGCGGCGGGAGGCGGGGGCGGAGCCGGCAGGCCCCGGCCGGTGGCTCCGCCTCCTCCTCCCGCCGCTGCTTCCTTCACCGCACCCTCCCCGGCTGCAGCCCGCCGGCTCGCCAGTGCAGCCGCGATGCCCCGGAGCCCGAGCTCGACCCCGGCCCGGGTTCCCGGCCCACCGCGTATTTAGCCTCCGTGCGTCCCGAGCGCGCCACCGCCAACGCCGCGCCCCGACGCAGCTATGGGCAACACTGTGCACAGGACCCTGCCAGGTACGCCGGGGAGCCCCTCCCGGGAGGCGGGCGCTGGGGTTCTTCTCTCCTCGGGGGACCCTCTGGGTGACTTCCGGAGAGCCACCCCACCTACCCTTGGAGCCCTCGGCGGGCGCGGCGGGCTGAAATCTCTGGTGCTTCCCGACTCCCGGCTCAGCGCGCGCGAGGCGGCTGAGCTTTGCGCTCTGGGAGGGCGGGTACCGCGTCCTGGTTACCTTGGGGACCCCGGTGCTCTTTCTCCCGGCTTTGGCCAGTTGCGCGAAGGGGCCGTTGGGACGATGCTGCGCGACCCCTTGCCTTTGTTCCAGCCCAAGGGCGCTGATGAAGGAGCCCGGGGCGCTCCAGGGGGGTGAATGGAACCAGGCTCCGCAGGGCTTCCGACGGCCAAAAGCCGCCCGTTGTGCCGAGACTGCAGAGGCTGAGAGTTGGCGGGGGGGTGGTGCTCGCAAGGGTACCTCAGTTACCAGCCGCTCAGCGCCCCCGCGGTACATGCTGCCTTGGTTTGGCCACGTTCCCACGCGCTCCCTGGCTGCGCCCCCCTCTGGTGTCTGCTCAGCTGGGAGCTCTCTAGCCCCTTGCAGTCGCCGCTGTCGAGCGCATCGCCCCCTAGTTAACACCGCCCCAGAATTTCCGGAGCCAGAGTAAGGGGATCCAGAGCTGGAAGGAGGTGGGGGTGTGAAGACAGAGGAGGCCTTGCTAGAAAATACCTGATAATTGTGGGAATAGGTCAGCGCTGCTCAAAGGCTTGGAGGCTCAGTGTCTGGCACTTTGCCTACCCCAGCGCGATATGCAAAGAAGCTTCACGGTAAAGGTGTGTATTCCAATTTTATAATGAAGAAATTGAGTTTCAGTGGAGGCGAAATGACACACCCAAGGCCATGTTGCTAGTGGGGAGCGGGTCTGGATTGGGACCTATGTCTGTCTGCCCACCCTCCTCCCTGCCAAGTCTTTAGAATAAATCTTTATTTTGCCTTAAGGCTGGGCATCTGTAGCATCCTTTAGGCAGAAGGTGAGAGACACATATGTGAGGTTTTAGGACGAGAGGGAGATATCACCTCCTCTATGCTCTAACAGTCTAACAGTATAGCTCTCTCCTTCATAATTATATATCAAAAAATAATTATTTGTTCCCCTGGAAGGGATTGAAATGGATGGTGCTGAGCCCCACATTCCCAAGGCCCACTTATAGGAGAGGAGCCCCGCCTTCTACTTTATAAGCCCCTGGGCAGCTTTCAGGCCACTGCACACGGAATTTACCAAATCCTCTGAGAGGTGAAGTCACCAGCAGAGCGTCACCAGTTAATCAGTGGCAGAGGTGGGATTCGAATCCAGGTCCTCTTACCTGAGAGTGGCCACGCCTCCTATGGCCAGGGCTATTGACGGCATGGGGATGGGGATGGGATGGGGGGAACCCACCACCCAGTCTGGAGGTGTCCAGGGATATTGGCAAATAGAGCAGCAGATGTCCTCCCAGCCACAAAGACATGAGCCCCTTTGTGGGATTTCTTAATTAAGAAATGTTTATGCTGTTCTAGTAGAAAAGCCATTCTGCCACCTGTGGGTCAGCCTTGGGGTAGATGAAGGGACAGAGGCACGCCAGGCGGGCTAAATATAGCTGGATATTTATGTAGTCTCCATCCCACTCGGCCCTCTCTCTGTGGACAGGGCCACCCCGCGCTGGGAGCCTGGCGTTAAGGTCGGTTACTCACGGCAGTAGCTAATCGTGGAAAATTCAAGCTCCACTGGTGCTGAAGCTTGCATTGAGTTTGAGGAAGGAGATGGAACTGGCATTCCTGTGCCACATCAGGCTGTAGGTGCCAAAAACATGAAGAAACCTTTATTGTTTTCTGACCTGCCTGTAATTAGTTTCTCACACACATCGTGCTGTTTTTTGCACCTCTGTGCTCAGTACGTGATGCTCCCCACACCTGGAATAATATCCTTCCACTGTCTAGTCCATCTTTCAAAACCCAGCTCAGTTGTCCCCTCCTCCAGGGAGCTTTCCCTGACCACCCACACCTTTGCTCTGCCACCTAAATACCTTCTTGTCTCTGCTTGTTCATCAGACCACTTTGCATTGTCATCACCCGTCTCTACTACTCGCCTTGGGGCTGCCTGAGGACAGAGCCCACATCTTGATCATCTTGTATCCCTGATTGCCCAGCTCAGAGCCTGGTGCCTGGCGGGAGCCCAAAAATTGGCGGTGGAGCTCACATGTTGCCTGCATCTTAGGCTGAAAGAACACTTGGCTCAGTGTTGCCCTGTAGAAATCCTTGTGCTTTCATTCTCAGGAAAAGGACACATGCGTGGGGTTCCTTCTACGGGACTTGAAATAGAGAGCTGGCATTTGCCGAGCACCTGGATTCCATGCCAGGCTTCCTGCATATGTGGCTTCATTTACATGCCAAGCATGCTTCTCCTTAAGGCTTCTGCACTTGCCGGTCCCTCTGCCTGGAACATCCTTACCCCAGATCTCCACATGGTTTCCCCCTGCTTCTTTCAGGTCTCTGCTCCATGAGACTCCTGCCATTGCCCCTGCCCCCATCGTCTCCCACTCCCTCTCCCCTGCTCTGTGTTTTTTCTTAGCATGGCTCACCATGTGCCGCGCTGTACATGTAGTTAGCTGTTTATCGTCTGTCTCCCCAGGGAGGATTTTGCCTGTTTTATTCACTGTGGTATATTCAGCATCTGGAGCAGTGGCTGGGACGTAGGAGATGTTCAGTAAATATTTGCTGAATGAATGAATTTAGTTCTTGCAACAGCTCTGCAAGGTAGGGGTTATCATCTCCCTCTTACAGATAAGGAAACCAAGTCTCAGAGAGGTAAAATGACTCATCCCATTTCACATGGGTCATCAAGTTGGCAGAACCACGATTGAATCCAGGTTTATTTAGCTCCAAAGTCCTGCAGTCTTCCCCTGACATCCATGGTTCAGATACCATTCATTGGGTGCCCCAGAGTACACCTGGTATGCTATTGTATACAGTAAGGAAATGTCTTTTATGATCGATTGAGGGGAAGCCACTTGGTGGCCCTCACAAAGGGCATCAGCAATTCAGATCAATGCCCTATAAACATTGCAGGGTTCAGCATGGGAATTTGCATTTGCTATGCTCTTACTGTGTGCATTACCCATTCCCTTTCTAGTTGCAGTTCAGACCTGCAAAATAAGGTGCCATTCTCCTCCATTTTACAGATGAGGAGACTGAGGCACAGAGAGGTTGAGACACCTGCCCCAACTCACACAGTAAGGCAGTGGTAAAGCTGGGCTTAGCAGACCCAGGTCTGTCTTGTCTGTAATATACTCCATGGTCCTTTTTTCTGCACTCCTTTAGCCTTAATCTGGGTTTTGCAAAGCAAAGAAAGAAAAGTATAAGCATGTGTGGGGTGGGGGGGGGAGAAGGGCACAATTCCAGCAGGGAGGGGGATGGGAGGAGGACCTCTCCCCCTTCTCCCACCAGCACGTTTCAATCGCTTTCCTCCACACGCCTCTGGGGCTCACCCATAGTTCTGGTTGGAGAAGAGGCTGAATTCAAACTGTCGGTTGGGTTTAATCATTAAGTCGGTCCATGCTTGAGCTAAGTCAACGGCCCTTTCTAGTGTTAGTTTCAGTGAGTGGTATCCTGGAGCTCTGGAGCGAGGGAAGCGTGTTGACCCTGCTCTGTGCCAAGCCCTGAGTCAAGGGCTTTACCCACATTATCTATTTCAGATCCTCATAACAACGCTTTAGAGGGGCTATATTTATCCCTATCTTACAGGGAGGCAGATGGAGGCTTGGGGAGGTAAAGGACAAAGGCTCACCGGTATAAGGGGGAGAACCCATCTTCCTAACCTAGATGGTCAGTCTGCAAATGCTACGTCCAGACCGGAAGCACCTGCTCCTACTGGGCCACTCAGGTGCCTTCCCTGTAGAGCCTCTTTCTTTATTTGACCTGAATACGGAGCCGTGTGGCTACTGGGCCTACATGGGTCGGGTCTGCTGCCCTCTGGCAGTGGGCGGTAATGCTCCGAGGGCCCGGCAGCCACTGTTTTCCCTGGATCTGGACTGTCTCAGCTCTAGGGAGGACAGCAGCCTTTGTCACTCTCACAGCCATCACGGCGGCTACACGGATGACCCAACCAGTGACATTCCCCTCCCTCTGCACGGCTCTTCCTCCTTTACCCAGTCACAATGTAAAGGTAGGTTGGGCTTGCCCGCCTTGTCTGGCCTCATCTGCCTCTCTCCCACTGGGTCATGAAGAATCACTTTAATAGCCTCCCAGTTGAGCCAGAGGCCTGAGCCTGAGCCTCTCAAAGTGACAGTGGTTCGCCCAACAGCCCTGAAACTTACCAGGCTGTCAACACATGGTCAGGGGCCCTGACTAGTCAAGGTTCCTTGGTGAGGGCCTGCGAGGATGCTGGGGGCTGGGGTGGGCGTTGGGGGAAAGTCTTATCCATCAGTGGAAGCGAGGATGAGGAATGGGTCTGTCCAATGTATAGGAAACATGGAGAAGTTGCCTGTGGAGAATCTGGAGCCAGAAGGAACTGGGGCCTCCCTCTGTTTCCACCCTCTGATCCCACCTCTTCTCCCTTCCCTCTCTCTCTCCCCAGGCAGGAAAGGGCGGTAGGGAAGGCTTCCTGGCGGAGGCGACATCTGAAGGAAAGTCCAACTGAATGTCTGCCTCCCGCCTTCGAATGTCATCTTTTTCTGCCTGTTTCTAGGGTCTTCTGTAGCTCAGTTGCACCAAAGCCATCCTGATCTCCGCTTAAGTGCCGTGCGCCCAGGCTGGGTGACCCTGGGCTGTGCCCTGCTCTGCATTTTCCTGGCTGTGCACCTTCGTTCACCTCTCTGACATCTGTTGGGCATGTGTCGTGTGCCAGCCCTGGGGTTCCACCCTGAATGGGATGGACAGCCACAGGTGGGCCCTGTGGAGCTGGCCACTGGTGGGCAGAATGCTCTAGTAGAGCAGGTCACGTGACTGGTTATATCACTGCAGAGCATAAGGTGCTGCTACCCTGTG